AGCGGCCCGTGCGCCAGAGCGGCGTCCGGCGCTGCTGCGGGAGGCGCCTCCGCTGGCGCGCCTTCTGCTGCACCCTGCGCCCCGCGACCTCTCTGCCGCCAGGCGGCGGCGGCCTCCCAAGCGGCCTTCCAATCCTTCGCGTAGTCAGGCCCCTCATCCCCGCCACGCGCGCCGCTGCCCCCCCCGTCGGCGGAAGCCCCGCCAGGGCGGGAGTCGGCGAACGCCTGGAACCAGCCCGTCGCCAGGTCAACGTCCTTCTCGTGGAGGCGTGCCTCGTGTAAGTCCCGCTCCTCCGCCCAATCGACCGAATACTGCAGCTCTGAGCAACCCATGCGCGGGCGCGCAAGAAGTTCGACCCAGCGCAGCTCAGCCCGGTCGCGCCCGCACACGCGTAAGATGTGGAGGGCGACGTCGATCTCAGTCATCATCTTCAACACTCTGCGGCCCTTCCTCTCCACCCAACACCGGCGCAGAGAGAATGGCACCTCGGGGGGCGCCGCGCCGAGCCCGCATGGCTGCCCCACCACGTCGCACTCGCAGAACTCCCCCGTGAAAATACGACTTTTCAAGTGCGAGAAGTTGCGAATCATCACACAGCCTCCAGGCCCTGAAACCTGGAGGGTCATCATCTTCCCGACAGTCTTGCACCTCGCAGGGGCCACCAACAACCGCCAATCTTCCACTACGCCTTGGTACTCCCCCCGCAAGTCGGCGACGCCGCCAAGGCATTCTGCCGCGCGCGTGCAGCAAGGCCGCTCAGTTGGGAGGCCGCAGCGAATGAGTCCTGGAGGCGCCACAGCAGCATTGTACATTTCGTCAAACGACACGGCCGTGGCTTCCACGCAGGATCCCCTCTTCAGCTTCGCATCGACATGTGCTTGCACGGCTGCGGAGACAAGGTCCTCGGACAAGGGGAACTCGTCTGAGCCGAGACCCCAAGGCCAAGCAGCTTCGTCCGACTGGTCAACGTGGTCGCGACAGATGCGCACGTACTCGCGCAGCGGGTCTGGCTTCATCCTCTCAGCCTTGTTCGCGCGCCGAGCCGCCTCTCTCCAGCTTCGCCTCTCGGCCTCGGATGCAGCCCGCCAGTCCGCGGCCGCCTGTAGATGCAGAAGCCGCTCGTACTCTCTCGGGTCTGCCCATGGCGCCCGCGGCTGCGAATCTCGCAGATCAGCCACGCGACGGTGGTAAAACATATACTGGCCCAAGCTCTTGCGCCGCTGGTTGCCTCCTTTGCCTTGGGCCCAGATCGGTTTCGAGTGGCCGCTCTTCTGCAGGAGTCGGCCCCGCTTGGTGCGCAAGTCGCGCCCGCGGCGCCTTCTCCGCCCCTCTTCGTGACAGCGAACAACCTCGGATATCACGTGCTTGGCGGAGA